GGATTTGATTTTTATATATATATATATATATATATATATATATATATATATATATATATAAAATGTAAAATAGATAGGTTGGTTAATAAAACAAGGACAAACGTAAGTGTACCAATATAATCAGTACGATAAACATTTCTTAAATATTAATTATTAACCATATAACAGAAAGAATCACGGAAAGAAAGGTTTTAAGTCCGGAATTTTCGGGCACGCCTGTATCCTTCATCAACTGAGCGAGAAAAAAAAACAGAGAAATAGGATTACTCACCGATGTTTTTTGTGGGACGGTGTAAATTCTGCCGAAGAACATGTTATTAGCAAAAACCCGATCTCTGTCTGAAACCTCGCTGTGCGAAACTTCTTATAAAAATGAACTTAAATTTAAATTTTGGATCGGTGTAAAATCGTGTCAGTAATTTTCGGTAATTCCCATTTCTCTGTTTATTACTCGGTCCGTTGATAAAGGACACAGGCGTGTCCGAAAATTCCGAACTTAAAACCTTTCTTTCCGTGGTTCATTTCCATCACATGGTTAATAATTAATATTTAATAATTGTTTATCGTACTGATTATATTGGTCTCCTTTCGTTCGTACTTGTTTTATTAACTAACCAATTTTAGATACTATAAAAAAAGAAGCACACGTGGACCCTTTATTCTTCTTATATATATATATAAACTTCACCAAAAGGATAATCACCTATATATATATATATATATATATATATATATATATATATATATATATATATATATATATATATATATATTGGCTGCTTGGCGTTTGTTTACGTTTGTAAAAAAAAAAACAATACGCTAAATTTGCACATTATCACTCACTTATTATCTGGGTCAACACGACGTGACATTATATTATTTACCTTCATTAGCTGGTAACAACGAAGTGAACTATTATTAACCTCCATATATATATATATATATATATATATATATATATATATATATATATATATATATATAGTGCCACAATGTCCCTAAAAGACGCTCCTTGATTCAGAGTTCTCCTTCTTCTCGAACAGTCGTCCCCAAAGACTATAGGACCAAGCCTGTCCTGCTATTTATCCATATCCAGCTGATATATTTCCCAAGGGTATTAGCACTGAACTCGACTGAATTCAAACTCGGCTCTCAGATTCCTCAATCCGAGCCGCTATTCTCCACTATATATATATATATATATATATATATATATATATATATATATATATATATATATATATATAAGGTGCGATTGGTAAATTGTCTCCTTTTTACATCTTTAATTTCGTGCATGCGCGTTGTTTGTTTTTCATTTTGTCAGCTGCACAGTATAGTAGGGTCAGTTGAGCACCGTCCGTGAGAAAAAGAGCGCCATGATGCAATTTTTCATCCTCCATGTTCAATTTTAATTTTGTATAATTAAAATTTGACTTTTAGTCGCATTTCACCTTTCCATCCCCATTTATTTTATTAAGTGTGTCTTTATATTCATTTATATTGCTAACGAATACCTTTGAAAAAGTTTTGGCCGAAATGTACCTTAGGTATGACGTCCGTTTTGTTTAAGGCTATATATCAGTTCTTTGGGTACAAATCTCTGTTTATATATATATATATATATATATATATATATATATATATATATGTGTGTGTGTGTGTGTGTGTGTGTGTGTGCAAATATATAGAAAAATAGGAACGAACACGTTACGTAAATAATCAGAAGTTTTTTAGTATTTTTGTTTTTATTTAAAAAAAAAAACAGTGTTCAATACAAAAGTAGAGCCTAAATTATGATTATAATTATTTTTTTAAAATATTTTTTTTAAATATTCCAAAAATTTCGTTTGAGGATGAAACAGAGCTTGATACTTTAATTCAATTTAATTTTAATAATCATATTGAAGTTTTTGGGTCTTGTTTTTGAAACATAACTCTTATGTAGCGAAGGAAGAAGGAATATATATATATATATATATATATATATATATATATATATATAAAATCGATAAAAAATGATATAGGCCTCTACAGAGATGACCGTCTCATAATAATATGGGATTCTTCATAGACATCAAAACAAACCCAAAAGAAGTAGATTTCCTAGATTCCTAGTCACACTCTGCCTAAGAATAGATAGATATCAGCCGTATAGAAAACCCAATGTCAAACCATTTTACATATACACATCTTCCAACAACCTGTCAACAATAATCAAGCAGATCCCATAATCAATTAACCGTAGGTTATCTGACAATTTTTACAACGAAACTATCTTCAGCGAAGTTAAAAAAAAGATTACGAAACAGTCCTAAAAGATTTTAGACAAAACTTACATACACACCACACAGTACAAAAAAGCCAACAGGAATAGAAACATCATATGATTCGACCCACCGTACAACAAAAACGTGAAACAAACGTAGGAAAAATATTCATCACACACATACACAAATACTCACCCACCATTTAACACTCCTCACAAGATATTCAATAGAAACTCTGTAAATGTCAGCTGCAGTTGTACCGAAAATATGACACTAATAATAAAAAAGCACAACAAAAATAAACAACAAACCACCCGCGCAAACCAAACCCACCTGTAACTGCAAAGAACGAACGCCCCTTAATTGGCAATTGTTTGAAAAACAATATAATATACCAAGTCACTGCAAAATCAGCATATAACGAAGAAAATATATATATAGGAGTAGCTAAAGGACCCTGAAAACAGAGAAACTATGCACAAAAACCGTCCTTTACAAATAATAAATAAGTGAGCAGCACAATGCTTTCTAAACATATATAAGAAATTAAAAACAAAAACTATATTACAGGAAAAAAATCATGGAAAATAAGCTAAACAGCATCAGCCACTAGCACGCAATGGGTTATAGCGGATTTGGAGCGAGAGCAGGTAGGAATGATAGAGGAAAGGATGAGGAGAAGGATAGTGGATAGATCGAGGTAACTGGAGATATCGATTGACATTACATTTGAATAGTTGCAGATTAGAGCTATCAGGGAAACAGAAATAGGGAAGGGTATTCCACAGGAAAGAGGTGCGAGATATGAAGCTATTGGAGTAGAAGAGGCGGCTACATTTAACAGTTTCAACAGTGAAATGGTGATAGCGGGGTGCCAGCCTAGTAGAACGCTTGAATTCGCAAAGTCTGGGAACCAGCGAAAGCATGCTATATTTCTAGTTAAAAGTGCTCAATATCAGAGTGTGTATGTAAATATAAAAGTGCACACTGAGATCAACACGAACTGAAGAGTGTTTCATGCAGGCACAAAAATTTTTATGTTACTTAAAACTGAAAACTAAAAGTGAATACCTTGTAAAATTTCGCCATGATAAATGCAAATATATGGGCTATATGCAACACAGATAATATAACATACTTTAGGCAAAGCCAACACTTTAAATAAACAAAAAAATTATGAATCCCAAAGAAAAAAGAAAATGAAAAAATGTAAATAAAATATATGATAAGCCAAAGAACAAACTATATATGCACACATAAAAACAAATAATAATAATAATCAACAACTAATTAAGAAACTGTTACATAGGAATAAGTGTCGCTGCCGACACTTGAGTTTGAACATAGATCTCCAATGAGCAAACACAGGCGATCCCATTATTGAATTAAGTGGATCATGTGATCATAAGTAGAAAGTAGCGTGACATCTAAACAATTGCTATTTCTATTCTATCCTCTATTACTATACGGACCGCTATCCTCTACTCTATTCACTATGCTATTTCTCTATTCGGATCGCTATACAGATTACTATTAGTGCGAATGATTTTCGAAGGCGCCTGACACTAGTATTGTTCAACGGCGTTACTGTAGTTGTACCTGCGATTACAAAGTCTCTACTACAACAAGCATTACGAAAGTGACAACGAGTATTCGTTGACATTACAAAAGTGTCAACGAGTGTCGTTGACATCACAAAAGAAACCAATAATAAATGATAAGTAAAAAGTTATCAAACAACACTATATAATCTTTCCAAATAAACGCATTCGAATCCACAATTATTGCTACTCTAGAATTGATTTGAAACCTAACCGTTACCGCCCACCTAATAACCGTTAGGATAATATAATAGACTTCACTACCCATAATGCACCACTGACCAGCATATATAAATAGACGAGCCACAACACAACACACATGGCCTAAAGATTGCGCTGAAGCATGAAACAGACTGTCGCCGCTTGGTATTAACCTCAGTATCTATTTTTATATTTTGTTGGTTTCAATCCAAAGGAGGGATGCCTGCAAAACACTTGCCCCTCCCCAATTCATAGGCAGAAGCACGTATATGCATGCTGGAATTTTTTCCTTTCCAATAAAACAGGCCGGATCTCGGTTTAATTAGACGCAGTCCCGATCTGTTTTGTCTTTAAGTCAAAACGATACGCTCGCTTGCCCGAACTTGCTCTTGTGTGTCAACCCCAATTCTTAACTTGTGAACTTTTTGCCTTATTGCTATTGCTTTGACTTATTACTTATGATTTGTATTGCATATATATAGTTTACTTGCTTATATATATATATATATATATATATATATATATATATATATATATATATATATATATATATTTAACCTGTTCTTTTATTTTTCTTGTTATTGCTAATTGCAAACTTTGTCAATTCTGTTCGTTGAAAAGTTCTATCATTTATTTTACATTTAATCATGGCCACTCATTCTACAGCCATAAATATAGCATTTAGAAAACTGGTAGATATGGTATTTAAAATTACGACTTTTAAGATTACATTAAATGTTCACATGTACGTCCTTTATCGTTTCAATTAGATGCTGGTTGTAATGTTGTAAGTGTTACTTGAAATAAATTTAGTCTTGTCGAGTTTCAACGGATTTAAAAATGGCTGAATTAATGAGACGTTTTGAGATTTACTGCTTTGGAGTTCTCAAGTATATGAGTTGTAAATCATTGAACGCTCATAAAAGACATTTTAAATTATAAAGAGAGGGAGATACGAACAGAATGAGATAGATAGATAGATAGATAGATAGATAGATAGATAGATAGATAGATAGATACGAACACAATCAGATAGAGATAGATAGATAGATAGATAGATAGATAGATAGATAGATATGAATAGAATGAGATAGATATGTAGATAGGTAGGAACAGAATGGGATAAATACAAATTGGTTGAGATAGATAGATAGATAGATAGATAGATACGAACTGAATGAGATAGATAGATAGATAGATAGATAGATAGATGGATAGATAGATAGATAGATAGATAGATAGATAGATAGATAGATACGAACAGAATGAGATAGAAACAAAATAAGATAGATACGAACAGAATCATATATATGTATATATATATATAGAAAGATAGATACGAACAGAATAAGATAGATATGTAGATAGGTAGGAACAGAATGGGGTAGATAAATACAAACTGGTTGAGATAGATAGATAGATAGATAGATAGATAGATAGATAGATAGATAGATAGATAGATACGAACAGTATGAGACAGACAGATAGATAGATAGATAGATAGATAGATAGATAGATAGATACGAACAGAATGAGATAGATAGATCTATGCTCATGGCACAGCCATTTATTTCTGCCTCGATAGTACGTCTGATCAGTCCGATAAAGTCAACTTGGCGACTGACCTCAAAAATTACCTACAATCTGTTGTTAACTGGGGCGAAAGATGGCTTGTTAATTTTAACGCCTCGAAAACAAAACTGCTCCCCATTAGTCATCTGAGAGACCCCTTTCTGCCTTCTATCTGTATGGCTGATGCTAACCTCTATGAGGGTAACTCGTTGCACCTTCTCGGGTTTACCTTCTCGGCTGACATGAAGTGGAAAGACTATATTGAATCCATTGTTAAGTCAGCTGCAAGGAAGCTCACTTCTCTGTGTCGTGCAAGACAATTTTTCTATCCAGTGTCTGTCTTACATATCTATATGTCTACCAATTTGTCCATGTTTTGAATATTGCTGTCACATATGGTACAGTGCTCCTGGTATATATCTAGAGATTCTTGATAAAACCTAAAGACGACTCAGCAATATTACTGATCCTGACCTGACGTCTCAGCTTCAGTCACTTTCCCACCGTCGTAAAGTTGTTTCCCTCTGCCTTTTCTATAAATACTTTCAGGGCAACTTTTCAAATGAGTTCTTTATAGGGGCATGGATTTAAGCACAGTACTAGATTAGCAACAAGGTCTCATCAATATAGAGTTAGAATTAGCTAGATGTAACCGTAACTTCTATGCTAACAGTTTCTTTTCTCGTACTTCTCACTTGTGGGACTGTCTTCCGGCCCCATGTTTTCCAGTCAGCTTTGATCTTCAGAAATTTAAAGTCCATGTCAATCGTTATCTACTGTCTTCCTGATTACTCAGCTATTGTTCTCGCTCCTTAATGAGGTTTCTGTTTTCTAATTCTTTCACACTCGGTAACCCTTAGTGTCTTAGTGGCGTTACTGTTTTACATGGGGAGAGTTTGATGAAACAAAGATAGTTTGGGGTCGTCACTCACATCATAGCAGCAGAAATTAGCCTTGTGTTCACAGAGATAAAGCATACTTGACATGAAATAAAGCGTACACACATAACAGGAAAAACACGGTAAATTGTATGTTTATTGCATATAGTTTATTTATATTTTTCTGTGTATTAGTCTGTGTATATTTTCGGTTACAATTGTTTTATGATACATGTGATAAAAGGGAGAATTTACTCTGTAGTATTACAAGCCATATCATAGAGAGAAATTACACACGTGTTGCCCGTACCAAGGTTCGTGGAGAAGAGATTGAACTTAACGTCTTTTAGTGAGTTGTCCGTATTTCCGTTTTTGTTGCATCTTGGGAGTATTTTTATTATTTTCAGTTTTTATTTAATTAATTTTATACAACGTTTTTATGATATTGTTTTATTTTATTTTTTATTTTCATTATTATTTATATTTTTTATATTTTATTATATCAATTATATTTTATTTTTATTTATTTATAATAATAATAATAATAATAATAATAATAATAGATAGATAGATAGATAGATAGATAGATAGATACTGATACACAAATTTAGAAAGAACGAAATATTCCACTTGAGAAGCCTGGACGAAAAATAAAGGTGTTCGTATGGAATGCAGAGTTTCAATTATATTTCATATAAAAGTAATTCCGAAAAGTATTCTTACAGAAAATGAGTTTTTGTATCAAAGGTGGAATCTTGCCTGCCTTGAAAACCAGCATCTCAGTCACAAGGCAAAACCCATTTTCATGATACGAAAAAACATAAGGCCAAATTGTGGGGAAACAGAAGAGTAACAGTGTTTCATTAATCTTAACCAAATTGTAACTGCTGGCTTGGTTGCCATGAATATCAACATTCTAAATTCTGGTTTTTACTCGATCACCAACAAGAAAATCGGCAGCAGGAAAAACACAACTATCTCAGCCACAAAGCAAATCCACTTTTCTCTTTTCCATTGATTTACTAAATTATGCTTTGTCTGTCTATATTTCTGAGATGAGGTATTATGTACACTATTTACATTATTCGGACTATTGTCCTCATCGTTGTTGCCATATTTATTACAAGGTTTCGGCCTTTCAGTATCTGTCTATATTTCTGAGATGAGGTATTATGTAAACTATTTATATTATTCGGACTATTGTCCTCATCTTTGTCGCCATATTTATTACAACGTTTCGGCCTTTCAGTACCTGTCTATATTTCTGAGATGAGGTATTGTGTACACTATTTACATTATTCGGACTATTGTCCTCATCTTTGTCGCCATATTTATTACAACGTTTCGGCCTTTCAGTATCTGTTTATATTTCTGAGATGAGGTATTATATACACTATTTACATTATTCGGACTATTGTCTTCATCTTTGTTGCCATATTTATTACAACGTTTCGGCCTTTCAGTATCTGTCTATATTTCTGTGATGAGGTATTATGTACATTATTTACATTATTCGGACTATTGTCCTCATCTTTGTCGCCATATTTATTACAACGTTTCGGTCGTTGTACACTCCGGCCTTCTTCAGGTGGTTTGAATGTCGAACTAAACCCTTTATTTCGCTCACTGGGGTAGACTGTTCTAGTTCCACGTGCCGTGTTTAATGGATGTTAGTTATCAGTTATCTCCTGTTAAATATAAAAACAAAAATACTACAGAACTTAGGATTATTAACCTAATGTGTTCTTTCCTATTTCTCTCTCTCTCTCTCTCTATCTCTCTCTCTCTCTCTCTCTCTATCTCTTTTATATATATATATATATATATATATATAAATGTCTTAAAATAATTGTCGGACTTTGTCCATTTCATAATATGTGACGTCATTTGTTTACATTTGGATACGCATCGAGCAGATATGAATGTACATGAGTGATTCATGGAAGATTGTAGTTTAAAAACAGTAAAATCGACCTTGCTAATGATCCTCCGTGGCTCGATCGGTCAAGTCTAAATGACAGTTCCATATAGGATACAGGTTCGATTCCTGTCGGAGACCGAATATTTTCTATGAAAATTTCTCGGACATTCAGGCCGGTAAATGTTATTAATACTGTTTATTATAAAACAGAGCATTTAATATCTGTATCTATAAATCTACTAATTTGTAGGTCAGATGAATTTGATCGTATTTACGATCCCAATGGAAAATGACCATATCCTTACTCTGTACTGGACATTGAGTTCTATCTGGATTCTATCCTCTTGGAATTATTTTTTATACATATATATATGTATGTATGTAAGTGTATGTATGTATATATTTATATATTTTAGATATATGATTGCATATGTATGTGTATATTTATATATTATATATATATATATATATATATATATATATATATATATATAAAGATATAATGAAAATCCGGTGTTCTTATAGATATTTTTATTTTACAAAATAGTGCTCAATGTAAATTTACAGAGCATTAATATTATAAATTAATTGATGATTGAAACATGGTTAGAACTGTGTAGCGAAAAAAACATATTTTAAATCAATTAATTAATTTATATATATATATATATATATATATATATATATATATATATATATATATATATATATGGTAGTATAAAGAACGAATGGGAAAGGTTTATCAATCTAACATGTTACACTTTTATTAATAGCTTCATCAGAGAATGCGATATGGATAAGATTTTAATGCCAATAAATATTCATGAATAAACTCATAACCTTATCTGATAATGGAAGCGGAATCACAGACACCAACAAATACATTGTAAAATTAAAATCCCTCTTACACGACGCCAACACTTACATAAAAAACAACACACAGTAAATATAAACACACATTCAATAAAACAGTCAAGAAACTGTTACAAAATGAAAACTATACTAATAGAATACCACCCTACTATACCCAAACTATACAGCTTACCCAAAAGACACACACAACATACCTATCAGACCCATTGTGTCCGGAATCAAGTGGTCAACCCACAAATGAGCTAAAGCAATTGCAAAAATCCTAACTCCATTCTTAGGCACCATCAACTCAACACATATTAAACACTCTAGTGACTTAAACAAAACATAAATACAGAAAGCAAGTTCATGGCTGACATAGATATCAAATGATTATACACAAATCTACCCGTTACAAAATGCCTAAACATATTTAGAAACCACCTAAAAACTCCTACCTGTCCATAAAATTATACAACTTTGTTTCTTTGTGTTTTACGGCATATCAACCTCGTTGGGTTATTTAATGCCAATAATAGATGTCCGGGCTTTGATAACTAGATAGCTTGTCATTTATACTTCGATATAAAGATATAAATGTTGATATTTACACCTTGACAATCAGATAGATACCTTGATAATCACACTTCGACATATAGATAGATAGATTCCGGCCTTAGAGGCTCTTGCATGTATTTTAGCAGAGCTTAATCGTGGCATTGAGATTGAGGTTAAGTTATAAACAACTTTGTAAACTGATCACTAACCACTGTTTCTTCTCTTTCAATAAAAATTTCTATAAGCAAAAATTCGGCTTACCTATGGGCTCATCTATTAATGGTGGCCTTGTCAGTCTTTTCCAAGAAGTTTTAGAATCTGGCCCATTTAAACACATTATACATAATACACCACTTGCCTAAGATACTTAAATGTGTAACGGGGTCGAATGTTGAGTATGTTAATGTAAGTTACCCTGTGTTACATGTATTAGTAGTTGATAGAGTATTCCTTTTCTCTTTTTTTTAATACTGAAAATGAAATGTATAAAACGTACAACAATAACAAAGAACTTTGAGACGCGTAGTGAAATTAATGACAAGAATTTTCCTTTTCGTGGTGTTATTTACAATATTGGTTTTGAGTGTGTTAAATATTCTCAGGGTTATTGTGTCTTTTTGTTTCTTTAAAATTTGGGCTTACTTATTAATAATTGTTCCGAAATTTTCGTGGTTAAGGGAAGCTTTTGAAACCGTCAACTCTGGATTTTCACGGAGCGAAGAAGATACGTCTGTGTTTTTCTTGTTACTACTGCTACTCTTTTGCTTGTAATGGAAGGGTCGTTTTTATAATGATGAAGTTTCAGATCTTTATTTTTAGAATGACGAAATATCATCATCGTCATGAATCATAGCAGATAACGTTCTTTTATTAAATCCTCACAAAATGAATCTATTAGACATCCTAAAGGATCTTAATGAATTAGAACCTGCCATCAAATTCACACATGTCTCTACCTTTCCTCGACATCTTATTAATATGTAACAATAACAAATTAGATTTTAAAGTTTATCGTAAGTCCACTAACAAAAACGATCTAATTAATTTATAATCCAACCATAGTAAAAAAAAAAAAAAAAAAAAAAAAAAAAACTGGAATAGTCACAGGATTCTACCCCAGTGTCTTTTAATATGTAACCCAAAATACTTAGATGAAGAAGGGAAATACATTGAATATACATATAGATTTCTTCACTACCCGAATAATTTCTTTCTCAACGCAAGAAAACGAACATAAAAGTCTACAAATACAAAAAAAAAAAAAAAAAAAAACTACACACCACCGATAGCACTTCTAACAACAACACAAAATTCATAATCCTACTCTCTAACTCTCTTTCTGTAAAACTTGTATAAAAATTAGTTATCCTTAATACTAGGATCTTTAACATCATTCCCAAGACAATCGGAAGTAAATGAGATAGAAAAATATTTCTAACACTACTTCAAATGCCGCTACTTATCAAATGAATAACTTGCAATTTAAATGCACATATAGCGGCGAGACATCCTGAAACCTGAAAGCCAGTATCTACGATACCAGGATCTTTAACATCATTCCAAAGACAATCGGAAGAAAATGAGGAAGAAAAATAATTCCAACACCACTTCAAATGCCGGTACTTATCAAATAAATATCTTGCAATGTAAAAGCACATATAGCGGCGAGACATCCTAAAATCTCAAAGCCAGTATCTACGAGCATAAAAGCGATTTACGTTTAGACAACCATTTAAACTCGCTTGTAATACACAGAAACAAAACTGGGCATAACTTTCATTTTAGAATACTTCCAGAGATTAGTAAAAAATATTTTACCAACTATAAACATACGCCAAAAACACTATATATTACATATATTAACCATAACATCTTCTTTCTTATTATATGCCATGTCCTTTCAGGACGTAGGCGATCACGGCTCTCCGCCTCTCTCTATCTCTTGCAGCTCTCAACAAGTTCCTTCCCTCTGCTTCTTCCCCCAGACCACGTTCTGTCATCCACCTGCTCAACCTCGTCAGGTATGTCACGCGCTGCTTTCCCCTGTTTCCCTTTCCCTCTATTCGACTCGTAAGTATCAGATTCTCCAGGCCCTCCTTCCTTATTATGTGCCCCAGAAACTTCAGCTGCCTCTTCCTGATGTTAAATACAATCTTTCTCCTTGTTTGCAATCTCTCTAAGACCTCACCGTTGCTCACACGCTCAGTCCATGATATCCTTAGCATCACCAACCATTATTGAATCCATTCTTAAAGAATCTAAAGTACGTTTATCTAAAACGAGCGGTGTTTGCGTAAAAACGTTACCAAATCGACACGCGAAAAACCTCCAAACACAATGTCTACTAGACATACACTCACACACTCACGAATATACATTGTCATCTGAATCCCACATAGACAAAATAGAATTATTATGCACTTACATACATAAAGCAATATTCACGGTTTTTTTTTTCAGTTAGGCTGGGAATCCGTTAATTTCTTGTAGCTTCGAAAGCGCGCGTCGTCTCTCTGAATTCGGAATGCCGTAAATTATACTAACGTTGTTTAACAATTCAAATGCATCTGATACCTGATTAACCAAAGAAAGTCAAAAAACCACAAAAATAACAAAACTGCTTTCTTCTTTTTCTCCATAAATCATTCTGTTATGGTCCGGTTCCTTGTACCACGGTGATAGTCCAAGGTAGAACCAATAAAGAAGAACTCGAACACAGGTATGGAATAACACAGATATATTACAAACAGGAATATATACAGATAAGTAGAAGTGTTAGTATGAACAATCAGGTTTCGTAGGGAGAACAATGTAGTCTCGACCAGTATCACTATTCCAATGTCTTGTAGTAATTGTCTGAACGCGACTCTGTTTCGGACTGCCTCTGACTCGACTCTTGACTCGACTTGAACTACTGACTCGTCTTGAACTACTGACGATATTCAGTCACCCCACCACGAGGGTGTCATGTGGCACAAGGCCTTTTTAACGTGGGCATTCCCGAGCCATTAGGCTCGGCCAAAAAATAGCCCATTTGAACCAGTATAAACGGGTTCAGGGCCGGTTTTACCTCCCCGAAGGAGACTCCGCCCTTCGGCGTAGCCTCCTTCGGGTTCCTCCCGCCCGTAGGAAGAGAGTTTAACCGAACAGTCGGTTCAGACTTGAACGACTGACTCCTTGCCTACTTCTGAGGCGCAGTATTTATTAAGTATGGAATAGTCCATTATTATTATTATGGGTAAGATCCCATAATACATTCTCTGATGAAGTTTTAATAAAAGTGAAATTGGTTAAATTGCTAAACGTTTCCTATTCTTCATCCTATCGTTCTGTCGGATTCCGATTCCATATTTGATCACAATTCATGTATATATATATATATATATATATATATATGTGTGTGTGTGTGTGTGTGTGTGTGTGTGTGTGTGTGTGTGTGTGTGTAATAATTTCTGGAGTCTAGAACAAGAATCCTCAACAGAATGCAGAAAACACTGGATGGCCGTTTCGTCCTTTTGGGGACTCATCAGCAGTGCGCATCGACTACCAATAATCGAACCCGGACAACGCAAGCATCATACTACTAGGCTAGCGGTATATATATATATATATATATATATATGTGTGTGTGTGTGTGTGTCTGTGTGTGTGTGTGCATATTTCATTGAATACGACAAACAAGGTGCTTTGATTTAGTGTTTTATACAATTTCTCAGTTTTTATATTAATATTCTGATATTCTTTGAAATTTTCCTGTTACCTTGATATTCTGATATTCAGTAAAATTTTGATATTACCTTGATATCTTGATATTCAGTGAAGTTTTCATATGACCTTGATATTTTGATATTCCATGAAGTTTTCATATTATTCGATATCCTGATATTCAGTGAAATTTTGATATTACCTTGATAGTTTAATATTCAGTGAAGTTCTCATATTACCTTGATATTCTAATATTCTTTGAAGTTTTGATATTACCTTGATATTTTGATGTTCAGTGAAGTTTTTATAACTGTTTTCCCCTCCATATTTGTTTTTTTTTTTTAATTTATAATGGATAATCGATAAATAAAAAGGGTGAAAACGCTAAAAGAAATAAAGAAAATAATTTAAAAAATGACTTTACATGAAAAATCTAATCCGTTTTGTTTAAATTGGTTCATATTTTTTCAGAGTTGCTCGGTTTTAAAACTTTTTGAAAAGAAGATTGCATAACAGTATATATAATCTTTGCGTGCAAACTCCATATGTAAACAAGTAATAAATAACAATGTTTCGAATTTAACGTCGTTTTGTGACATTAAAGGTGTTATTAAAATCGGTTGCTTAAAACGTAAGAAAGCGAGAAGTAACGTATTTGGCTTCGCATACAAACATTAAGGAGTCATAAAGTTCGATTCAAATTTATGGTCTACTTTACTTTTACGACTGGTTTAGACAATAAAAATGGCTAGTGATAATTATCTATATATATAAAACTGAGGATGTCTGTCTGTCTGTCTGTCTGTGTGATACCTTTTCAGTCGAGATCCATCCGACCGATTTTGACCAAACTTGGCACATACATTGTATAATGTAAGAAAAAGGTAATAAATCGATAATTTTAAAAAAAATCAATAATCGATAAATCCGATCAGAAATTGATAAATTCAACTTTTTTCCTCCATTTTCCTTCAAACTCAGTATGTTGGTTGCTTACATTATGACGAGCTCAACGATACCTCATTTTTATTTGTACGACGAAAAATTTGTAGCGAAAAACGAAAACTAGATTTCAATACAAATTTTAAACTAAAAACTCCCTCAATTTTCAAGCAATCTAATACAAACGTCACTCAATTGTAGCCAACAATAAGTTGATTGTTTAACAGTCATTTAACTTGATAATTGAATCCACCCATACAGTGAAAACCCATGTAAATAGTGAAAAATGGCGATTTTTACTGGTTTCTTTCTTATTTTTGTTGATCTTTCAACCAATTTTCATCAAACTTAACAATTGCTTTATAAATGTATCCTCTTTTACATCCCTGGTAGCACACTGACAAATTGAATTTCAAAATAATTGTGGTCTGAAGTGGGTCTTCATGTTGCCTTATTTACCTCTTCATGTCCTCGTCTAACTTCGATTAAATAAACACAGATTACTTCTGTTATATCAGTAACTGCATTAATTCAAGATGTTTTTTTAATGAATACTTTAAAGTAATTGAAGAAAATAGACTCTTTTACATTTAAACATAATGCTGTTTTTGCTCCATTCTAATTGAACGCTTTTTATGTTCGATCAGCTGGCTATGTCTGCTAGTATATATATAAAAATACATGCAGAATTTATTAAAGCATGATTGCATTCAAAATGGCCGTAAAAAGTGTAGCGAGTAAGAAACACGTCCAAACCAAACACGAGCTGCCAATAGAACAATTGGCAATTAGGTCTCACTGTTTTACTGTTGAATTAGCTAGGTACAACTGCCACTTCTAATCTAACAGTTTCTTTTCTCGCACTTCCCACCCGTGCAACTCCCTTCAGATTTTTTTATTTCCCTGATAATTAAATTTTCAAAAATTTAAATGCAACATCAATCGACATCTTCTGTCTTCTTGAACCCTGTTCCTTTTTTTTGTCCTTACCTCAATTTCTCCCCCATTTCTGTCGTTGTCCTTCTAGACCAGTTGCCATCGAAGGCTATAGAACCCAGTCTGCCCTACTATTTATTCATGGCTGGGGGAGAAGAAGAGGATTCGTATCTTTCCTGAGGGTATTAGCACGTAAGTGAATGTAATAGATTTCAAACTCGACTCTCGGATTCCTCAATCCGAGCCGCCATCCACCGTGTCTCCTGAAAGAATATATATATATATATATATATATATATATATATATATATATATATATATACTTGTTTTTTCTTATTTATTTATTTATTTTTCATATATATTTTTATTTATTTTTTCAGTTTTCGATTTTATGTAACGCAGTAAAAAATTGAGATGAGTTCTGATCGTTTATGTAGCAGTTTGTTGTTATGTTGTTACATAGCAGTTTGTTGTTATGGTCTGAGAAGGTAATCATGGCTATTTTTTCGTCCAATTTTTGGATTGATTGTTGTAGTCTATTGTAACTGTAATTTTGATGGGAGTGGTTTGTTAAGTTGTTTATTATTTGCTTGGATTTATTTATCTTACTTGTTTTTTATTTTTATTTTGTTTATTTTTAGATATTCTTTTCAGTTTTCGATTTTTAAGTAACGTAGTAAAAATTTGCTTTTATATCTGCATTTTGAGATGAATTCAGATCCTTTATTTAGTAGTTTGTTTTTGTCTGGGAAGGTAATAATAGCTATTTTTCCTCCAAGCAAAGTTTGCAGGTGTTGGATTGATTGTTGTAGGCTGATGAACTTTTCCTTATTTTCCATGATATTTTTGGTGTGATTTGCGTTTTGTTTTTAATTTCCCTTATATACTTAGAAAGCATTGGGCTGTTCGCATATTTACTATTTGTGAAAGATGCTTTGTGTGCATAGTTTCTTTGTGTTCAGGGTCCTTCAGTTACTCCTATATATATTTTTTCTTCATTATCTTATGATTTTACCGTGGCTTGGTATATTATGTTGTTTTGTAAGCAATTACTGTTTAAAGGACATTCATTTTTTATTCTGCAGGTACACGTGGGTTTAATTTGTTCCGGTGGTTTGTTGATAGTTTTCTTGTTGTGCTTTTTTATTATTTGTGCCATGTTATCGGTGCAACTGTAGCTGATTTTTATTTATTTTTTTACTGATTTTTTTCTTATTTTGTGGAGAGTGCTTGATTCCCGGAAGTGTTTGTGTAAGAGTTTGAAGAATATTTTTCCTACGTTTGTTTTTACGTTTGGCTGTACGGTGTGTTGAACCACATAATATTTCTCTTCCTCTTGGCTTTTCTTTGTGCTCTGTGGTGAGTATGTGAGTGTTGCCGAGAATCCACTATCTTTTAGGACTGTTTCGTAGTCTTTCTTAGCTTCGTTAAATATGGTTTCACTGGAAGAATTGTAGGAAAGCCTGCGGTTAATTGATTTTGGTATGTTTGATTATAGATGGCAGTTGATTGGAAGATGTGCATATATACAGTGGTTTATCATTGGGTTTTCTGTATGGTTTATATGTACCTTTTTCTTAGGTTGAAGGTAACATCTAGGAAATCTACTTCGTTTAGTTTAGTTTTTATGCTTATGTCGAATCCGTTATTTTTGAAAATCTTTATTGTTGCTTTAGAATGGACTACCCAGAATACACTACTGATCCATATTTATAAATAGTCGAGAAAAAAACAACACATGTGGCCTGATGATTGGACTAGCATGACACAGTCTGTCTCCCCTGAGTATTGACTTCAATGTTCACTTTTATATTTACATACGCTCTATCTCTGATATTGAGCACTTTAATCCATAAATATAGCACACCTTAAAACTATATTTCTTCATATATATATATATATATATATATATATAATTCAGAAGTTAGGGTAAGTAGTTATAAACATTTTATTAATAGTAAAGCTTAAGTTAGCCTTGCGGGGAAATGAAGCAACCAAAGAAAAGTGTGTATTTTAACATTGTAAGGTTTAGACATGCTTATGATATTCCCGTTTTTTTTTTCTTAG